CAAAGCTTCCCCTGAACACGAGGGAGAGGCCTGACCTCCTGTGCAGCCCACGGCCGTCAAAAGACACTCCGGACACCCCAGTGGCAGGGTTAACATGGCCTCTGAAGGTCACTAGAGAACAGGCCACGCGCTGACTATGCTTAATTACTTTTCTCAGTCCCAGAAGGGAGCCTGCGCACTCCCGTCTCCTCCATCGTCCGCGGTCTGCAGCAGGTGCGCTTCCCCTTCCGCTGTCCAATCCTGTGAACGGTGACCGCATCCGACCTTCACAGAACCCAACAACAACAACTACAACCGCAGTGACTCCGGGCTTCTTTCACAGAAAGAGTAACAGTCCGTTCTTTCTTTCACCCTCTTTTTTCTTTCTTTTTCTTTTTTTTTCTTTTTTTCTTTTTTTTTGTCTCCTCTGACTCAAACAATGAAATTTAAATAGGAAGATCTTTCAGGAGTAAAACACTCTTTAAAAAAATAAAACTTCCAAAAGTAAAGCAAAATCTTTTTTACCAAAATACTTCTTTCATTTTTCACATTGTTCTCTGAGACGGTTCAACAACTACCCTCTATCAGCTTAAAGAACATCACTCAAATTACATTTTTTTCCCCCTTAGACTGAATGGAAAAAGCTAAGGAAAACGAATGATTCGGAAATTCCAGAAGATCAGTGTGTGACATACACAGAATAAGGCTCTTTGGATTGTCTAGCACACTTGACTTTTAATGTGTTCACGACAGCTGCATTCCTAAGGATCTGGCCAGGGTGCTCACAACAGCAGCGAAATGAAGTAATAAATAATATCTGCAAAGAAAATCGTTTAACTTCTGGAAACTGCGTTTCTTAAAATCACCCGGTTTCTTTAGCGGCATCATTCCTGTTTGGCTTAAGTGCCGTTCCAGTCCTCCTTGGTGCTTCCTGGCTGGCCACGGTGGGACGCAGATGGAGGACGCCGCAGACGCTGCCGTAGGGACTATGGTTTTAATGTAAGGCATCGCAGTTGGGAGAACCAGACACTGGGCTCTAAGCAAACGGCTGCTGCAGATGTGTTAAGGCATACATAGCCCGGCCTTGAGCTGTGAGGATGGGGAGGAGATGCACCAGGGGCACAGGCCATCTTTGACCAAAGCAACTCAAGAGCTTATCACCTACAGTGAGACTAAGTCAGCCATACTGCGAGGGGACGTCTATAAAGTCAAAGCCTGAGGGCTGGGACCTAGCAAGGCCCAGGCTCCTTCCCTTCAGAGCACTCAGACTCGGAAAAGAGCCCATCCCTGTGTGTGGAAGGCGGCACAGATGTCACTGTCTGTGGAAATGCGCCCCTTATGCTACCAACAGTTGTGCACATCCGAGTTCCTGGGGTGCACACTGATGCTGGGACAGCTCTCGGGTGGCCGGCCCACTTGTGCTAAGGGGTCACCACATTAACCAGTGGCTGGCCCCGGGCTGGAGAGTGCAGCACTATGTATGTTAACCCAGACAGAGGACTGCTTTGCACACTACCAGTGCAACCCGTCCTCATGTAGCACACATACGGGATGAGGTGCAGCCTGCATCCACCCTCCACGCTCAGAAATGTCACCCCGGGGCGGGCGGGTCAAGGGAGAAATGCTTCTCTCTCGGGTGGATGGCCGCACATCAGCCTTCCCAGCAGCTCCAGGGTCCCACAACCTATCCTTTAATGCCTGGTCGCATCAGGCTGAGGCCGAATGTACGTCCTGGTTCTCAAAGGGTAGCAGCGGTTCTCTCCAGAAGGTGAAGTTACTGAAAGTGTCTGAACAGGGGAAGTCGGAGGAGTGGCTTCTCTTCAGCAGCGGGAAGACGTGGTCAACCACTTCACAGAGTCTCACATAGCTGCAAGGGAAAAAGGACAGGAGGGTCACTACCCCTGGAGCCCGGCCAGCTACATGAAGGGCGGTACCAGACTCTGGGCTGCGCTGCAGGCTGGGGAGGAATCTACGACCCCAACTCCAGTGAGGAGCCGTGGACTATGCCTGACTGGAGCCAGTCTAGCCTTATAAACTCACTGAAGGGAGAGGGGGAGACAGAACATCCAGAGAAGAGATCGCTCCCGGGAGGAGACAGCCTGACTATGCATGAAGAACAGACAATAGGAGCGGAAGTGCGGGGATGTACAGAGGGAGATCAGCATGGTCAGGGGCATCTATCTGCCTGCCACGGAGGCCACGTGTGGGGTGCCTGCCACGGAGGCCACATGTGGGGGTGCCTGCCACGGAGGCCACATGTGGGGGTGCCTGCCACGGAGGCCACATGTGGGGGTTGCCTGCCACGGAGGCCACGTGTGGGGTGCCTGCCACGGAGGCCACATGTGGGGGTGCCTGCCACGGAGGCCACATGTGGGGGTGCCTGCCAAGGAGGCCACGTGTGGGGGTGCCTGCCACAGAGGCTACATGTGGGGGGTGCCTGCCACAGAGGCCACATGTGGAGTGCCTGCCACGGAGGCCACATGTGGGGTATTGGGGAGGAACCAAGGACAAAGCACTTGGCAGCAGAGACAGCACAGCCACAGTGCAAAGACTCAGGGCCATGGGCTTCTCGGGGTGCTGATCTGGCATCACTCCTGCCCAGTTCCAGCTGGGTGATCTCAGGCAACGGCTCCGAAGTCTCTGCACCCTGACTCCCTCTACCGTGAAGGAAGGAGAGCATCAGAAACAGAACGACACAGGCAGGGATCCGGTAGCGCGTACAGGAAACCCATTCAACGGCGGATCACCTCCACTTCACGAAGACGTCCCTGGCCATGGGACAGCAAGGTCAAGGCCTCCTCCAGCCTTTCTTACTGTGTGACTCTGGGCAAGTGTCTTGCCCTCCCTGAGCTTCAAGCCCTTCCTCCTCAGTGTGTGGGACTGGACCACACAGGAGTCCCCAGCACTCCCTACCTCAGGGCACTTCCCCTGTCCCCAGGAAGATGACGCCTACCACAGCCTACTACAGAAAGAAAGCAGCTCCACCTACGGACCTGGAAGCCCTCCAGGCTCCTCCACCCAGTGATTCCGACATGCCCCACCCTCTCCCACACAGCCCCTCTCCACTCCCTCGTGCCAAGAACGAAAAGGGGCTTTCGAAATCCGAACTCCTGGAGTTAGCATGTTCTGGGGCATGAAATGACTTTTTCAATAAGGCTGTGTGTGTGTTTAATAAAGGGCCTCCAACGGACTCGTGAGAAACAGTGTGCTTGCACAACGCAGAGAACCTCTCTTGGCATTATGCTAAGAATTATGTCTTTCCTGGGGATTAAAACAAACAAACAAATTTTTAAAATACCTCCTGACTTGAAGGCCTAGTAGCCTGAGGTTTGTGGCTATGGGGGTGGGGGTGGGGCTCCCCGCAGGGAGCTGTCCCCTGCCAGGCTGGCGAGGCTCCCGTGCCCTGGCAGCTGCGCCTGCCCCATCTGGGTGGCCCGTTCCACCCTCCAGGCATGGGGCTCCCTGGAGCAAGGACAGGACATCCCCTGACTACAAAGGAGGGAAGTCCTGAACCCGGGACTCCACCCAGTGGGGCTCCATCACTTCAAGACGTCCACAGGGTCATCCCAGGCTCCAAGGGACAAGCACCTGCTTGGCTAGGACTGGTCATACCCAAGGGCCTGCAAGATGGCCCAGCAGGTGAACAAGTGCTTGCCTCAACAGCGTGGCAGCCGGATTCAAAGCCTGGAGCCCACGTAAAGGTGGAAGTAGCAAATAGCCTGCACAGAAGTTGTCCTGTGACCGTCACATGTGCACTGTGGCACACGCATGTACTTGCCTGAGCATGCATGTACACACACGCGCGCACACACACACACACACACACACACACACACTAACATGCACACACATACACACACACACACACAAATTAGTAATAATTAAAAGAAAACATCATACCAAGTTCTGGACCTTGGTCTACATGCTTCCTAAAGATGAAAGAGTCATCTCAGAGAACGTGTCTCAACACCACAACTGACCTGCTACAGGATAGGAGGGTGTGGGCTCCATCTTCTCCTCTCCCCACACCTAGAGAGCTGCTTGAGGGCCTGGCCTGTCTAGGAAACCAGGAAGCCAGGAAGCCAGGGCTCCCTCACATCTGGAACTATTCTAGTCCAGCTGGACTCTAATGACCATCTTCAAAGTGAAAAACTGCCCTGGTGGTCTCACTCCCAGATCCAGGCTGGCCTGGAACTCACTATGCAGCCCACAGCTGGCCTCAAATCCACAGCAATTCTCCTGCCTCTGCTTTCCCAGGGTGCTGGGATTACAGTGTGAGTCACAACTATGCCCAGCTCGAAAAGCATGGGAGGTACTCGCCAACACCAGGAGGAATCTCACAGCCCACTCCTCGGATCCAAGTCTCCCGCTTACGTCAGTGCTGCGGCCACTCCAGCCAGAGGCTGTTTTCCAGTTTAGTACAGATCACATGAAAAGACACAAAGTCGTGGACAAGGCAGAACGATGGCGAACCCAGGAGGGCTGACATCAGAGACCCATGTGAGATGAGGCAGAGCCAAGAGTGATGTCACATGCACCACACGGCCACACTCAACACAGAAAACCAGCGAGGTGTGGCAGCGGGCCCTGCGACCCCAGGACTGGGGAGAATGAGGCAGGATTGCAACGTTCAAAGCCAGCCTGACTCCATGGCAAGATCCTGTCTCGAACAAAGCCAACAAGAGTGCCCCAGGGACTGAGAAGGGCACCTCCGCAGTACGGTGTTCATCTGGCATGCCCAAGGCCTGGGCTCCAACCCCAGTACCATGGGGAAGAAAGCGTGACTTCCCACGGCTCGCTTGGGTCACATTCCAAACTGACATTCAAACTCGGGCAACTGAAGGTCTAGTTTATGAACTCATTCAATTCCATGCCCCGGGTGACTCCAGCCTCTAGTTTAGGCTTTACACTCTGAGGGATCTGACTTCGCTCTATTGTCCAAAAACTAAGCTGGAGACGGAAGACATGGAGTTGAACTCCATTTTGGGGGGAATTAAAGATTAATACGGGCTGGGGAGATGGCTCAGTTGATAAACTGCCTTCCTTCATGAGAACTTGATCCACATCAAGTCAGGTGTCATACATGCCTGCCACCTCAGTGCTGGGGCGTGGGACACAGGAAGGTCCCTGAAGCTCACTGGCCAGCCAGGCTAGCCAATGGGTAAGCCCCAAGTTCAATGAGAAACTCTGTCTCAAAAAAATAGGGTCAAAGTGATTGAGGAAGACACATGACATTGACCTCTGACCTCCACAGATATGAACACATACAAGTGTGTGCTACATACATGTACACACACACACACACACACACACACACACACACACACACACACACGCAAAGATTAAAACAAAGACAGCAATGGATAAGAGGGTCTGCAGTGGATGGGGATACCGGCTTCAGAACAGTGGGGGAGGGGGGAGTCCTGTCCCTGGGGAACAGGTAACACTCACGAGCTGATGTTGGTCTTGGCGTGCTCCTGCACCAGCTCGCCCTTGGGGTTGACAGTGAAGATCCTGTTCAGGGACACTCCCACTTGCTTGTAGGAATACACATCCTATGTTTAGAAAAGGTGATTTAACACGTCGGGAGAGCAGAGTTCACTGTACAAACGAGCACGCACCGTGACCTCTCATTCAATGTCGCATTACCAATTTTCACTAACTGGCGCTTCAGCTCAGGGGAGCGGGGACCCATTCTGCTAGTGTTCCTCCCTGGGCCTCAGTTCCTTCAACTCTTCAGGACCTGAGCTAACCTCCCATGGCTCCTGCCCTGCTGGCTGGCATTCCTCAGGTTTATTTTCTAACCTAGTTTCTCATTCCAAAATAATCTGCTACAGGTTTTAAAAGCAGAAATGTCCAGTTGAGTAGTTAATACCCAGCTATAGTGTATAGAATACAGAACCTTCTAGCAAGAGTGGGTCCTCCATAACATCTCCACACAGTTCCTCCACCCTGTGAGTCTCTGCTGCAGACTTCAAACTGAACCTTCCAAAAAGCTTGGGTCACCCACACCATCTATCTCCACACGTTTCCTTCAGCCAGGGAGCTCTCGCTGCATGCTTTGGGCATCAGGCAGGGCTGGCACGGTCGTCTCATCTCTCAGGAAGGACCCGGCACCTTCAGTGCCCTTGCTTTACTAATTTAACAGGTAATGCACAATTCCAAGTTTGTAGCCCAGGTCGCCAGCTTCAGAGGCCTTCAAAGGAGACCAGAGGTCCCGTCCGACACACTTTCGACCTCTTTGCCTTAGAGGACGCTCACCGTGCACACACTCCTCGGCCAGGCCTTTGTGAAAGCAGCTGGCAGCACCAAGCACAATGCCTCGAGGCTCCCCTGAGGTACTTACGGCAGGGCGGTTTCCAAAAGCAGCGTAGAAGGGTTCTGTGTTCGGGAAAAACAGGTTTTTGATGTCTGTCAAACACTGGACTTTGAACTTTTCTGGCTTCTTTTCAATCACTTCTCTATTAAAATACACAAGTACATAATTGGTCAGCATGAGAGGACTTCAGTCTGCATTAAACTGGTGTGAGGGCCATCAAAGCCGCTTCGTGGGTAAGGAGACCGGCGCTGAGTCTGACACCTGAGTGTGTGCCCCACAACCCACTTTAGAGGGAGGGAGCTGACCATGCTGTCCTTTGCCTTACACACACACACACACAAAGTAAGAAGTCATTTAAAATTTTAAAACTAGTCTTCAATGTGCAAGCTATAAACTCCGCCCAGCAGCCCAGAAAAACACTCAACTCAGAATGAACCACACTCTCAGCACAAGAAAAATGCAAAGCACCAGCCCCGGCAGAGGGGTGACCTCGGAAACAAAAGTCTGTGTTAGCGTGGGCCAAGCTCACTGGTGAACACACGGGCAAAGTCCCAAGGACGTCTATAAATGCAAAGGGAGGCAGGGTAGAGAAGCAGGGTCATGACAGGAAGGCAGGAGTCAGGTGACATTTGAAACCGACCCCTGTAACGATGTCTCACATATAATGAGATTAAGAGAAAGGAAATCACCTGGGATACAAAGACACTGGCCACTGGCCAACATCTCGTTAGGATGAAAACTTCTGAAACTTGTTGTTATTTGTATGCATGTGTGTCTATGTGCCAGGTGTGTGCCGGCGGCCTGTACAGGCCAATAGGTGACGTCCACTCCCCCGGGGCTGGAGTTACAGGTGGCTGTTGAGCTGTCCAGCATGGGTGCTGGGAATCAAACTCTGGTCCTCTGCAAGAGCAGGATGTGCTCTTAACTGCTGAGCCATCCCTCTAGCCCCAGGATAAAAATTCTTACATCAAAAATAGAAAGAAAAAAAGAAAAGGGAAGGAAAACCTACTACAAAAAGCTGGTTTGGGCGGCAGACACCTGTAATCCAGAACGAAGGAGACAGAGGCAGGGAGATGACCAAACACTCAGGGGTTAGCATGGTCTACCGACTGAGCCCCAGGCCAAAACAGGGCTCCATGGTCAGCCCCTTCCACAAGGTCCTTCTGCAAACATCCTGTGGGAAGCACAGCAATGGTCTCCAGCCAAAAACAACATGAGAAAAGGTAACAAAAGCTTTAAGACTTAGAATTTAGGGGTCAAAAAGATATGATGGACCTTCTTGGTTAAAACTATAAAAACTCAGGGCTGGAGGTGACCCATTGGATAAGCGCACTGGCTGCTCTTCCAGGGGACCCAGGTTCAATTCCCAGCACTCACATGGCAGCTCACAACTAACTGCCTGAATTCCAAGATCTGACACCCTCACACAGACATACATGCAGGCAAAATATGAATGTACATGAAATAAAAAAGTAAATAAGTTATAAAAAAAAATATACTCACTGAAATACAACAGAGAAGGAAAACCTAAATAAAACAGACCAGTTTCTTGAACTGGATGCTTCGATATTATACTGAGCTATTAATCCTCTCTAAACTGGCCTCTAGATTCACTGCATGTTTAATCAAATCATAGCAGACCTTTGGATGCTTTAAGGAAACTTGGTTCTGAAAGTCACAGGGCAGAGTAGTGGGCCCAACACAGCTGGACACTGCTGAGCTTGGGAAGCAAGCTCCAGGACCATGGATACTAGTCAGAAGAGGCCCGCTGAAAAGCATGCATGTGTGCGTGCGTGCGTACGTGCATGTGCATGTCTGTGTGTGTCTGTCTGTGTGTGTGTGTATCTCTGTGTGTTGTCACTGTGTGTGTGTGTGTGTGTGAGCATCTGTGTGGGTGCATGCACAAGTGCAGGGACCAGAGGTTGGTCTTGGGTCTCATTCCCCAGGTGCTGTCCCCTCCTCTGTTTTTCAGACAAGGTTTCTCACTGGTCTAGGACTCACCAAATAGGTGAGGCTGACCGCCAGTGAGGCCCAGGGATCCACCACACCCATTGTATCCTAAGAGACGGGAACCTTTGCTGGACCTCACAGTCAGAGCTAAAAATGCATCTGAGGTCACAAGACTGAAGATTGCCATCCTACTGTGTGCTCAAGCCTGTCTGTCTGACCTGCTTATACGAGAACAATGTAACCATCAATCTTAATTGCCTTGGAGTTCCCATGTGATCAGTGTTTACAACCTAAGCTAATGGATAGCTGTAACCTTAACTTATGTCCTCTTCCATGCCACTGACCCAGAGTAACCCAGAGCATGTATGTTTGTGTGTTGTGATAATTATTTACTGAAAGCAGCAAAAACAGAGGTTAGAAGCAATCTTATAAATGAACATCCACAATCAATGTTGAGCACGACATTTGGATACTGCGTGGTAAGCAATGGTGTTTGTTATCTGGGTCAGTCAGGGTCAGCTGGAGTCAGTGACTTCATCCCTTGTCACACTGTTAAAGACTTCTGTAAAGCGTCCTCCATCCCACCCTCATGTCCACCAAACACAAAGTCGAAGCCCTTTGTTAGGAAGAGAGGCATACAAACACAGGGACACACAGACATGGGGACAGATTCACAAGTCAGGCGGGCACAGACTCGGACACGCAGCGGGCAGACAGGAAGACAGAGCACACATGCAGAAGGACATAGAGAATCCAAACCTGGGTTCATTCTTGGTTAGAGGACGTCAAGGAGAAGGGTCACACTAAAGTGTGACACCAAGGTGAAGTCCTTCGTTAATGTGATACTGGTGCATTATTGGTGACTCTTTTTATTAATGCATTCAAAGCAACTGTATTTTGGTGCCTTGTGTGAGGAATCTCTAATGCATTTAACACACACACACACACACACACACACACACACACACACACACGGGTTCTGGGGCTCAAATTCCTCTTCACACTTGCAAGGCAAAGGCATTTATCAACTGAGCCATCTCTCCAGTCCAACGGTCCACTTATTCTGCAAAACTTGCAATGAGGAAGAGACAACAAGTCTGCATGGGGTGGGCTATCAGGGCGGTACCTGTGTAAGCCATGGGGTGGGCTATCAGGCGGTACCTGTGTAAGCCATGGGGTGGGCTATCACCTGTGTAAGCCATGGGGTGGGCTATCACCTGTGTAAGCCATGGGGTGGGCTATCAGGGCGGTACCTGTGTAAGTCATGGGGTGGGCTATTACCTGTGTAAGCCATGGGGTGGGCTATCAGGGCGGTACCTGTGTAAGCCATGGGGTGGGCTATCAGGCGGTACCTGTGTAAGGCAGAGAAGAGGCTGCTCGGGCTGAGCAGAAGGGGCCCCTGCGGCAGCACCGTGCCCCTCTCATTGACCCAGTGCAGGTAGCCCCTCGTCATGTCTGCCATCCCAATGGCGCGTGCCGAACAGTAGAGAAACTTGTAGCCGTTCCTGAAAGACACGACCCATGCACCTTGAATAGCACCGTGCACGGAACTTTTCGGCATCCAAACCCTTACCTCCGTCTGCTCTATGAAGAAAGGCGTGGTTGCAAGTGCCCCCCCCCCATGTGAAAGCCTGCATTCCGTAACATGCTATTTCCAGTTGAGAACGAACCACAACACCGCTCACTGCACCGTAGACTAGCACTCCGAGTCCGACCTCGAGCAGCCTTCCCTTGGGATAGGCCACCAGGCACCTCTTCTGCAAACCAGGCCACACCACGCTTCCCACAGCTGGGCAGTGGCTGCAGAAGCCTTGGTAAGCACAAGAATGAGGGGCACTCCCGGATGTGGGGTCGGGTCGTAAGACAGGACCACCACTGAGAAGCGGAACAGCACAGACCGTCCCGCCCAGGTCTCTGCACAGTCTGAGGCTCTCCTCGTCATCCCTCATCCCACATGCTCTGAGCCCTCCACGCAGCCCGAGGTGTCCAGAGATGCCCTGGGGCTCAGCAGGGCCCTGCCCTCAGTGTGGTAGTAATCTAATTGTACTGAAATGTGATTTTGATTGTATGTTAATGAATAAAGTTGTCCGGGGGTCAGAGCTATTAGAGCCATAGACAGAGTGTGGCGGTGGTGGCACACGCCTTTAATCCCATAGAGCTCTGTGTGTTCAGGGATACAGCCAGCATTGGAGACATATGCCTTTAAGACCTAGGGGGCTGTACATTCAGACAGTGACGAGGCAGTCACGTGTTTGGGTTTACAACCAATGAGAAGGCAGAATGACTGGAAAATCGACTTACAGACAGGAAGTAGCTCTCTTTCGCGAAGCTGGGACAGCAGGAGGAAGGGTGAGATTTTAGCTCTGAGCTCTGACCTCTCGGCTTTCTCCTTTACATTGTTTCTGTGTTTCTTATTTAATAAGACGGTTGGTTACATCTATACCTCAGAGAGGATAGGGGGCTGTGGGCCAAACCGCAGCAGCGGAGGGGTGCAGGGGAGGCGGGGAAGGGGCGTGACACACCGTCCGCTCCTGCTTGTCCGGTCCTCAGTGACCGACATGGGGGTCTGGAGAACAGAGAGCAGAGCACGACAGAGTGACCTGAGTCCAGGTTTCCCGTCCTGTCCTGGTCTCTACACCCCGCCTCAGAAAGGGCTCAGAAGGCACAAAGGGTTAACTGACCAGGAGTGCAAGCCTGAGCGCCTACATTCCGCCCAGAACCCACAGAGAGACTGGGGCGCCGGCTCCCGGTGAGACGGGACCAGCCGGCCTGGAGGACACAAGAGTGGCGGCAACAACAGAGGCCTCGTCTCAGCGAGGGGGAAGGTGAGGACCAACTCCTGAAAGCAGTCTGTCCTCTGGCCTCCACAATCAGGCTGTGGCATGCCACACACACAAACACACATGCACACACAAACACATATGCAAACATACATAACACCCACTCATGACACACACACATATACATGCACATACACACACACACACACACACACACACACACACACACACATTAAAAACAAAAAATTTTGCTGGGTGGTAACACACACCTTTAATCCCAGCACTCGGGAGGCAGAGCCAGGTGGATCTCTGTGAGTTCGAGGCCAGCCTGGGCTACAGAGTGAGATCCAGGACAGGCTCCAAAACTACACAGAGAAACCCTGTCTCAAAAAAACAAAAAAACAAAACAAAAATAAAAAATTTCAAAGCCCACAATCCAGACAGACTTAAATCAAATGTTCCAAGACAAGCTTTTAGACTGGGGTCCTCAGCACAGCTGTCTTGGAGCAGGTAGACGTCAGATACCTCCAGCGATGCATTGTGTATGGGAGCCCACAACTGACTCAGTTTCCCAGTTTGAATCTGAAGTCTATTCTTAGTCAACAGAGTTCAGGCTTGCTTGCTCCAGGGCTGTGAGAAAGTCCTGGTTAGCCCACGGGACGGAACACACTAGCTAGCTAGGCGCAGGCTGCTGCCGCCAGGCGGAGGTACATGAGACAGAAAATGGAAGCAACTGCCTGCTCCTTGAGGCAAGGACGGGACAGACAGTGGCTGAACGCCTGTGCTGGGCATCCTCTGTCCTTCAAGACTGTGTATAAGCTGGCTGTGAAGTAAACCCCGGACTGTCGGCATTGACTGGCAGTCCAGCCGACACTTTTCTGTCTTCTTCTTTGTCTCTACGATCCGCACGCCTCCACCCAGACACCCAGCCGACTGGTCGGCAGGCTCTGATAATTGTGAGACAGAGCATCCCAGCTTCCACCCGCCCGGTGCCCACAGCACACAGAAATCACGGCAATCGAAAATGCCTTGAAGCATGGTCACTTGTGCCTGAAATCCTAGCCCTTGGGAGGCAAAAGCAGAGACTGTGAGTTCCAGGCCTGTCTGGGCCACATAGTAAAAGACCATGTCTCAAAATTCAGTCTCCAGACACTACTGTGTATTAAAGAGTTGAGGGCCACCGTTGTGGAGAGATGGACCCCTGGTCTCGTTTGTAATCCCGGGCTGAAGGACAGTCTCCCTGCCACCTAAGGAAGCAAGTTCTACGTCCTTGTAAGTCACCCCGTGCTCGGAGGGAGAGAGTCTGTATACAGAGCGGCGGGGGGTCACAAACGGGCAGTTATAAGACAGGAGTCGGTGCTCTATACTTACTGGCTTACTTTATGATACAGCTTTGCAATGCCCTGGTGGGTCCAATCCTTTCCCAGCGTGGGCAAAATATGACCAAGAGTATCCGATCTAAAGAAAAATGAAAAATATATATATATATATATATATATATATATATAAGCCAAAGGTTACCGTAAGAGGAAAGAAAAAAAATGCCCGTTTGGCTTTGATGCACTACTCACGCCCCATAAAAACAGTATGAGTGAGGGCTGGTAACACGGCTCAGAGGGCAAAGGCGCCCGCTGCCTTTGTTCCCAGGCACCACACGGCAGAGGAAGTGAACAGGCTGCCCCCAAGTTGACCCCTGAGGGCCATGCTCATGCACATGTATGCGCATCCACAAAAATGTGTTTAAAAAAAAAAACAGCTGAAAGAAACAACAGCATGAATAAGACCCACGGCTTCCTCAGTAGAAAGCCCGGGCTCACAGAGTCAAGTGAGGACATTAGGAAGAACTCGGGTGAGCCATCGTGCTGAGGACTGGGCTTGCTGGACCCACGTGAGGGCCCGCTAACCATTCCAGAACCGCACTCTTCAAAACCAGGTTGGAGAGATGATACCCAGACAGAAAGAAGACACCAGGCCCCTGTGGCCGCTGCTGAGGCCAAGGTGTTGCCCCTATCTGCGCAGTTCCAAATGCACAGGAAACTGTACGCTCCGGCTCCCACGATGCTACCCAGGGTGAGAGGGAAGCCAGCTCCAGACCATGATGCATGCAGCCAGACCCACCTGGTGATGGTCCCATCGATATCCGAGATGATCACTTTATCGTCCCAGTTCCAGAGGTAGATGGTGCCTTCACAGCGGCAGGTGCCCTGGTACTGCGTGGTGACGCTAAAAACCACATCGTTGGGGCCATTCTTCAACTTCAAGCTTTTCTGGAAAACACGAACCGTTTGTGTGCTTCACGGGGAGGTCCAGATCCAGGAGTTGCTGGGCCTCTGCGGGCTTTAAAATCAACCCTGGCTTCCCCAGGCCACTGCGAAGTTCTCTCCTCTGTTTCCGGCGCTAGTTCTGTCCAGGGCTGGACAGGCAACCTAAGTCAGACCCAGCTCTCCCTGGCCCCACTCACGAAACAGCCACCCACTCTCTACAGAACATTCTGCTTCTAAAAGCAGTGCTAACATGATCCAGTCCTGAGAGAGCGAGTACACAGAGTTCAGTGACTGGCTGCAGGCTGCCCCCAAGTCCCACCACTACACAGGCAGTGTGAAGGGTCCCGGTGTGAGAACACAAATGTAAGACAGACAAAACTGTTTCCCTCAATAGTGTGTTTTTACTGATTTCTATAATGACACAGACTGGAGAGAGAGCCTTGAATCCATAAAAACATAGAGTAGGCCCAAGCACATCACACCAAATTCAGAAAACAAAACTCCTTTGGTTGGTCTTCAGTCTTTGCTGGTATACTCTGAGACACAGGAGCTGGCCACACAGGCCCACAAGGTCGACTCTAAGTGTCCCCCCCGGGTCCCACAAGTGGTTAACATGGGGTCATCTTTTCCCATTAAATACCATCCTGTCAAAACCTGCTCCTCATAAATTCTTACAATAGATACACAGACTTTAATGTAGAAAAGCAGAGATGTCTGCTCACTGGATGGCCTTGATTTGAAGGAAGTCCAAGGTTGGAAAACTAGTCACACACACACACACACACACACACACACACACACACACACACACACACACACACACACACACACACCGGTGAGGGGGGACCCTCTGCTTCCTAAAATTCTCTAAACTCCATCACGCCTGCTTGATATCCACCGATTTCATAGATGCATTTGCGTTAACAAGCATCTCTCTCAAAGCAAAAACACTCAGGAGAGACATTCCCAAGTCTCTCGGCCACTGGTAATGAGGATAAACGAACGGGCTGAGGCAAAGCTGCCTCCTCCTCCTTCTAGGTCAGAAAAAAAAAAGCAGCTCAAGAGTGCAGAGTCACATAGCCAGTCCATGTGAACAGCCACAAAGTCAGGGTGGAAACACAAGGTACCAAAGTGAGGCTGTGAGGTCACTAACAGGCATGCTGGCTCGGGAAAGGTCCTGGGAAGAGCTGAGTGAGCAAAAAAGGAGGAGAACCCCAGACCTTCAAGAAAGCCCTCAAACTCTACCTGCCCACACCTGAGAACTAGAACCGCAGCTGAACTGGGGACATGGGACTCACCAGCTGCTCCGACGTGAGCCGCAGGGTCTTTTTGTAGCTGACGTTGGACAGGAGGGAGAGGTGGCTGGAGCTGGACGGCTTGGCGGCCGAGTGCTCTTCGTCGCTGGAGGACGACTCGTGCTTGACTCTGCAAGGCGTGGTGAAGCAATTAGGAAACGCATCTGGGTAGCCATTAAAAACGCATTAGGCCTGAATCAATGACTCAGTCGACTGGGTCTCCTGGGTGGTCATTTGCCATATGGCTTTAGAGTTATCAATGAACTCTCCCATGTCCCCATTCATACCTGGCTTCATCGCTGAGGGGGGAGGGGGCTGCCTCTCCTCATTCACTCCGGCTTACCAACTCTCACCGCTCACTTTTAACTAGTGTGACTCCGTTCCTGATGAGCAGGGCTACACCCATTCTGCCCAGAAAGCCACTGCCCACATCCTCTTCTGCCTCTTCTCTCTCTACCGAAGGCTGTGGGCCAAGCCCTAAGAGTCCAAATGTCTACAGTCCAAACACCACCAATGCTCTCATATCCAATTCCATCAATTCCACATATGCAATTCCAAACAATTAGAGCACTTCCTGGACCTACGAAGACTTGCCCGTTCACCCCACCTCTCCCCGCAAGACTCGTGAAGTCACTACGAGCCAAGAGAACACTACCTCTGTCGGCACAGAATCCACAGACCAGCTCCAGCTCGTCTAGAGGCTTCTCCAGGCGGGGGCTGGGAGGCAGGGTTAAGACTCGGGCCCATCGTCTTTAAGGGCCTCACAGAAAGCAAGTTGGTCAATTAGCTGCTCCCTAAGCTCATTTCTACGGCTTCGTCCTCCAACCTAATAATGTCTGTCTGCCTCCCAAGGTACTCAGCACCCTGCCAGGTACTTGACAATGGGCTTGGAAAAGCCAAGTGCCCCCAAAGCAGGCATGCCCATGGTGGTCTTTCTGTTGCTGTGATAAAACACCATGACCCAAAGCAATCTGGGAAGGAAAGGGTTTGTTCCAGTTTATCACTGTCTGGTCACACTCCATCCCTGATGGAAGTCAGGGCAGGAACCTAGAGGCTGGGGCTGAAGCAGAGGCCATGGAGGAGTGCTGCTCACTAGCTCGCTCCTGGTGGATTATTCAGCCTGATTTCTTGTATAACCACCCAGGGCCACCTGCCCAGGAATAAATGGCACTGCTTCCGGTGCACTGGCTCCTCCCACATCCATCACTAAGTAAGGCAATACCTTACAGACGTGCCCATAGGCCAGTCTCCTGGGGGCATGTTCTCAATTAAGACCCCCTCCTCCCAGGTACGCCCGGGTTTGTGTCAAGTTGACAAAAATAAATGAATCAACCAGCACACCAACTTTCGCATCCCTTTATACAGGACAACTCGCACACAGATCTCGGTCTTGTTTACCTCAGGAGTTGCTCCCCTCTCCTTCCAACCTGTCCCTGCCTCCATTTCCCCTGGCCTGCCTTGTGGTCACCCCGACAGCCGCCCATACAAGCCTTTCCACCATGGCTACTCATTCAAGAAGTGATGTACACGGCCTGGTGCTGCCCGGGAGCAAGGAGTCATCATGGGGAGCACTCACACAGCACACCCCCCACTTGTGTGTGGAGCCAGATGTTGCAAACAGCAGACAACAGCCCGGTCAGCCCTGCTCTCTTCGGGCACAGCCACCAGGGCTGGCGAAGCGCCTTGGCCATCACAAAGCGCGTGAAGAAGTTCTGGGATCGGTGACCATGTCAAAGGAGGCAGGCTATGGACAGGCTGGGACTCCGGTTATCTGCGGCAGACCTGAGCTCTGTGTGAGTCTGAGTGCCGACAGCAGCTGTGATCCGAAAACCCAAGGCTGCCCGCTCAAGGAAACGCACATCGTACTACTTTAGATGACTTTAGCTCTGCCTTTCAGCCCGTTTCCTTCATTCTAAGTCCAGGACACACTGAATTCCACCCCACCAAACCTCAGGATGCGGTGGCGCCTCTGGGGAGAACGAGACAGACAGCTACGTCCAATGCCGACCGACTCCTCTCTGCACCTCAGGCAGCTCTCCCCTAAAACGCTCAACGGGAGTCCCTTCCTGTTCCAGTATCTGCAGATCCCATGAGGAGCACTCATCCTTCTGAACTGACTTCCTAGAGGAGAGGTTTCCAGATGGGGCAAACAAACCCAATCCTGCGGCCTGAGCCCCAGGACAACGCCCCAGAGGAAGGCCCTCTCATCAAGCGGGATGCGGCTGGAGGCCCCTCGCTGAAGAGGAAGCCTTCGTGCTCCAAGTAGTCTAGAGCAAAACGAGATCCCAACAGAACCGCGCCTCTTAGTAACAACAGATGGATGTGTGCCTCTGCCGGGCGGGCTGGGGAGTGTGCAAGTCGGAAGAGCTCTGACTTCCATCTGCCGCTTAGGAGAAGAACGGCCCACTAAATCCGTGTCGGAAGGGAAGCAGACTCGAAAACGAAAATGGGAGTTAGTTGTACAGTTGGCTGCCGGCGGCTCTCGGGTGGGCACGTGGACAGCCACAGAGGCTGCCACCTTCCGGACCTCGCCACCCTGAGAGGGACAGGGTGCGCCTCGGCAGCAGAGCGCCCACATCACTCCTGCTCCCGCAGGGGGTCCGCCAAATGTCACTTCCTCTGCAGCGGCTGCAGACAGCAACCAAAGGCCCCGAGTCATCGGAAAAATCTGCCTTCCGATGAGGAACTGTGAACAACACTCAAGTCAGCGCTTGTCACAGCGCACACTTTTCAAATGGCATTTTAATTATTTGTATGGTGACAAGCTGTTTGCTCAGTTATGGGACTTTGGGGACTATCCTGTCAATCAAGTCCGTCAATTAGGAAAACATTCGGATGCCAATTTTTTTTTAAAGGCATCTATGTGACTCTGCTATGACTGGAAGTCACGGGTGCCACCATAAATGAAGAGATTTACATTCCTCAAGAGAACCTCCACATATTTCGGAATCTCAACTCCATCACACATGAGCCAATTTATAACTTTTCAGGTTTGATAAGTGTGATTCGGAAGGGGGAGGGCTGGGGCTGCTTTTCCGTAACAGCAAAGGCGCCTCTCCACGGTCCAGACGGAGAGAAAGCCCATCAGAGCCCAGGAACCCCACGAGCTGTGCTCAACTCGGGACGGCTCCTGGCACAGTGTCCCGCTGTCCCCCCACCCTCAGCCTGTCCCCGGGTCCCCGAGTCCCTCCATGGCCAGAAACGGGAAGAGCGAGAGCGGTGATAACAACAGCGGTGGCGCCATGTCCTCTGTGTCCTGCCCCTCTGCCCAGGTGTCACGGCCCATGCTTTCTTACAGCTCCCCGGGCCCGGCCCATCTCTCCCAGGGCTAGGCCTGGCCGGGGGCAGCAGTAGAGGTTTGGAAGACACCTGGCATTTGGCCCATGTAACGGGTCTTCAAATAGTTTAAAATGCCCAGTGTTGCCGGGCGGTGGCGGCGCACGCCTTTAATCCCAGCACTCGGGAGGCAGAGCCAGGCGGATCTCGGTGAGTTCGAGGCCAGCCTGGGCTACCAAGTGAGTTCCAGGAAAGGCGCAAAGCTACACAGAGAAACCCTGTCTCGAAAAACCAAAAAAAAAAAAAAAAAAGCCCAGTGTAGGATGATGATGTGTCCTCCGGGTGGCTGTGGTCTGGTCACCTTGTCACAGGGTCACCGTGAGCATCGGTGAGGTGGGAGGGGAGAAGAGATGCCAGCGTGCCTCTCCCGTCTTGTGTCACAAATGGCGACACAGAGAGGCGGCCCGCCACCACCCCTGCCTCGCCCCTGCAGAGAGCAGAAAGCCAGGAAGACAGCGTTGGGGTTCACACAGCCGGATAGCTCACCCATTTCAGGAAAGGGCACAGGAGAGCACGGGACAGCAGGGTCAGGGGAAAGGGCCACCGCCTGGATACCAGCGGCAAAAACAGGAAGCCTCCTGCTTCGAGAACATCCCAGCTGAGAAACGGCCCATCCGCACAGAACACGCTCAATTCCTCAGTCCTCAGTTCTCCCCCACCCCACCCCCAACCAGTCTTCTACAAAGCAGGCTCTTCCTTGCCAACGGCACAAGTTCCTCCTTCCAACAGAGAGTTCTAGAAATACTACAGTCTAAGGCACAGAGCTGTGGCCAGGAGCCAGGAGCCCTGGAACCTAAGCCAGCTTCCCCTATAAATGAACCAGCAAACGGGGAAGCCCTCATCAGCTGAGGAAGAGTCCCGCGTTGACCTCTGACCTCCACATGGGCACTCCCAGGCAAGTATACTTGTGTATGTATGAGCATACCCACACCCAGACAGACAGACAGACACATACCACATGCCAGGACCATGAGAGACACTCTAGCTAAGTGGCTCCCTGGGGACTCATACTGACCTCGAACCCTCCCTGTCTGAGAGAGACATCTAAATAAAGACTATCTAAATAAAGTGCTCCTGGTCTCAGTCACCTAGTGACTCCAGGGCCAGCGGGAACCGAGGCCTAAGAAAGGAGCCGCTGACCGACCTCATCAGTGTCCAGTGGGCATGCACAGGACCCCTAATTCAGCCCAACAAAGGGGTGGCATCGTTGCCAGAGGGACACCCCGCCCCCATACCTGGGGGCCAGACCAAGCTGTGAAAGCTGCTCTTCTGTACCGTGGCCCGTCCCTGGCAGGCACTGCTCAGGCTTGCTTTCCTGGAGGAAAAGGAAGGAAGCCATCAGAGGAGGGGGAAGGAGAAAGGATGTTCCCAAAGCTTGGGTCCCACCACAGGCTCCCTAAGGCCCAGGGCAGGGCAGCAAGGGCACAGACCCAGGAGGAGGAGGACCCGGACCCAGGAGGCTCTGGGAGGCGCATGTTTTGGCAGGTGCCCGTTACTTCCCTGCCTAGAAATATCGTAAGATTAAGCGGAGAAACATTTTTTGACAGAAACGAGTCTGTTAGTTATCCGTAAGTGTTCCTGGCACCCAACCAAATGCCACCGTCCCTGTCACAGAGGCACATGCTTGGAATGGGGGTTGCCTGGATTCCTGAGGGTTTTCACAATATTTTCTTCTAATTGCCAATAGAAATGTGCGAGAATATTTGCACACCATCTTGTTCTCAGGGAAAACGAGAGAGCACGTCTCTCTTGCAATGCCGCATGATCCTAACGGGAAACGTTCCCGGGGCATCCTAAGAGGGCCTGGTGCGTTGAAGAGAACTCTGGGTCCAGGCCCACTGCTCCTGCCTGGGAACCCTAGGAGCAGCCGGCTACGGTTCAGAGCTCTGTTTCCCCACTTCTCAGGCGGAATGAGGATGCGGATGCACTGGCTGCTGATACACAGTGGGGAGGGGAAGGGAGGGGAGGGGAGGGGAGGGGA